CTTAAAACCTTGTTTATAAAGCAGCTAAATGACTGATTGCCATTCCATCCTTATAGCCATACACTGGTGTGGTTGTAACACTTGATACATGTTTCTCTCAAAATGCTTAGCTTTAACACATTGTTTGAGTTTCCCAGCAGTTTTTTTTTCCCTTCCACATCTGCTTGACAAGTGGGCTTTGTTTAGCTCCCTTTTATTTTGTATAATCCTCTTATGGTTGTTTTAATAGTTGTCACTACATGAGCCATATAATAACATTATTGTAGGTGTCAAGTATGTTTTTAAATGTACTTTTTCATATTACTGTGGCTTCTCACATTTTTGAGTCATTTTCTTTTCCTTAACAGAACTGTTTATTATTTTGAAATGACAATTAGTCTTATCATATGGTTACATTTTACAGGAATGCTTGACAGAAGCTTAAGGTCGGTTTCAATTTCTTGATTTACAGGTATTAGTTTCCTATGAGATACAGAAGTCTACAAGGCTAGTAGTGCTCACTTATTTTTGTGTCCAGTGATGGTTTCATTTGGTCAGTGTAGAGATTCACTTTTTTTCCCCCACTTTCCCAACATAAGTCAGCTCCCAACTGGACACTTGCAGACACATACATTTTTTAAAATGTGTGGCTGAGTAAAATAAATCACTTGGCTTTCTAACTAAAGAGCTTGAGTTGAAATCCCTGATAGATAGTAAGACTTTTTTAAATTTGACTTAAGCTGAGTTGTATTTGCTGAGCCTCTAAAGGTTTTACTACCAAATTATTATTATGCAACTCATCATTATGATAACAACGATAATGTTATGATAAGATAACAAACTCTGCTTTTTTCTTAAATTGTTGTGCAAAACTATATTTAAACCTTTTAAAACACCAGTACTGCTTCTTTATTTATTTTATTATTTTGGAGGGAAATTGGGATACATGATAAGTCCGAACTACCATTTTATTTATTTATGTATATTTTTAAAAATTATCTTTTTAGATTTTTTTTAATGTATCTGTCTATTTAGTAATGTTGAAAATGTCTGTTTAAAAGAAATAAATATCAAAAAATGTTAATAGTGTTCAATGAAGGCAATATTGATAAACTTGCACAGGTTTTGTAAGCATCAAAGCTGTTATGGGAGATCAAAGTATGAGTCTATTGTAGGAATCAAAGCTGTTAATAGTATGTGCTGATCAGTTTGATGTAATCATGTTGCTCATACTACAGGAGATTTACAGTAATACCAGTTCAATTTTGTAGAAAGCTTATATTTATAAATATATACAGGATGTGTTTCATGTTTGTTCCCATTATTCAAACTAAATTCTTACACTTTTCATTGACACAATTAATAGTTTGTTTTGAATTCACATTTTAATATAACTAAAAAGATTTAGCACTCATGTATTTGTTATTGTCATGTATATTTGTTATATTCATGCTTGAGTTTAACCAATGTATGTAAATACATCGATAGACTGCAAGTGTGTGTCTAACACTGTATCTGTGACTAATATGTAATGTTTTCTGACATGGCTTTGTTTTAATAGGGGGGCAGGCGAAAAACACTGCAGCCATACCAACCATTTAATCGCAAGGTGAGAGCTTCTGAACACACCTACCAGATGTCCAGATGGGTCCCATACATCAAAGATATTTTAGAGGTATTAGTGAAATTTAAAAGAAAACATATTGAGTAAAAAAAAATGAGGGTAATATAATTATTTAGAAACATTTTTCTTTATTATTAATTGAAAAAAAAACATTTGTTGGTATTGGTTATGTATGTATGTTTTGAACAATGGTGTATCACCAGGATGCTATTGAAGATAAACTAGAAGCCAAACATTTTCCATTCCTTTCCGGAGGGGCAAACTCTAGACCCCACATCCCAGGACCTCAGAGAAGGTTTGTTGTTTTTCACTTTAAAATGTAATATTTCATCTATAAAATTTTTTTTTTCAAGAATAAAGGGGTATGTACTAGACTTAAGCACTTATATGGTAGATCTGTCCTAATTTACATACAAAATTTTTATACCAGCATACTTGGTGAATCTGTTTCTTAGATAATTCCTTAAGTAACAGTCAACACATTTATATTGGCTTGCTCTCAATTAGTGCTTGGGAGCATTTTTTTTTTTCTGGAGACCTGTTAGAAACAAGTTTTTGGTGGGAATAAACCCCTTGCACATTAAAATTAACATGTTTTATAAATCTTGAAAAAAAAAAATTACGGTAATTAAAATAATGAAACAATTCAAGAGAAACTATCCCTTCTAGGATTTTAATGGCACATATTTCCATTTTATGGTAATTTTTTTTATGATACCTATTTTTCTTTAATAGGCTTATTTTAACATACTTTAGCTGCTCTGATCATGTGGTATGCATTCTAGACTGTTGTTTCAATTGTCTTGGGTTCAAACCCTGCCCACCACCATTCCCACCTTTCTGCAGATGTAATAATTGTCAGTTGAAGAAAACAAAGTGAAGAGAACTTTTCATTTGACTTTTGCTAAGAATAGTGTGAAAGTGAGACTCTGTTTTCAGTGCAAGATATGGTCAGTGGCACCAGGAGAAGGGAAAACAAAGTTACAAGTCAGGTCCAAGGCTGATTGTTTTCATCATTGGTGGTGTGACCTACTCTGAGATGAGATGTGCTTACAGTGTGACACAGTCTGCCAAGAACTGGGAGGTCCTTATAGGTAATAGGTTGCATCTCTCGATAATGTTTTGAAAAAAAAAATTGTGTGTCAATATTTCACAGATTTTTTTAACATTTATTGACACTTTTTCTCTAATTAAAGCTTTTTAATTGAGATAGCAGCTTAAATTTTTTTAGTATAGCAATGTTTAGGAAGCCCCCTTTGACATTTTAGACTACCGGTACTGTTACATGATTTTATATACACAGCCAATGCCTTAGCTGACTCACTCATTTATCCACTTATCACTGATTCACCCACTTGTGGCCAAAAATATGTAATTTTAACATGTTTTTACCATTTATCTGGAACAATACTGACTTTAAAAAAGAATTCATGTGTGGTAGCATTATAATGCTGGTTGTTCCATTGAAGAATGGAAAAAAGATTTTTTTTTTTCCAAAAATAAACAACATATATCCAATCAGCTATTTCAACTTACTGAAGCACGAGTATCAGGGATACCCAAGTATATAAGATTGCTATAGATACTATGAAAAATATTTTAAAAAATTGTATTTGGGGACAAACAGGACATTTTGCTTACTAGTAATAAAATTTCATTGAGTTAATTGTGTTAATTTTGTTTTTCAAATTTTAACAGGTGCTACTCACATCTTAACACCTGAAGGCTTCCTAAGTGACCTACGCAGTTTAAGTACAAGTCAGGCTTAGAACTGGAGTCAAGGATTATGTGTGTGTTTCATCTCTCACACTTTAGACACAATGATTGTTTCATCTCTCTCACTCTAGATTCAATGATTGTCTAATGTATCTCTGAGCTTTGTATATTTTCTCCTTCACTCTGGACAAATTCATTTCAAATCTCTTTCTTTTAGCCCATTCAAAATAGCAGTCATCAGAAGAAAAAAAAATGTGTTTTTAGAGTGGAATGTTATTATGTTTACAATGTCATGTTTTATCTACAGATATGTGATAAATACATTTCCTGTCATGTTCCACTTTCTGTCAGCAATGACACACATAGTAAGCTCAGTTTAGTTAATGAATATGTTTCTCAGGGTAGACTGACTATACTATGCTTTACTCTTAGAGAACATAGGAGACTAACCATGAATTCCATCTCAATGTTCATGGCTGAGCTCTTTGTAAGTTTCTCAAATCACATTGCTTCTTTTTATCTTCACTACATGTTAATTTATTGCAATGTTCAAGTCTGTGTTAGAATCACTAGAATCCTTTTTTTTTTTTTGGGTCCATTTTCATATTCTTAATTCATTATTCATTATAATAATTCTTGCACCTACTGCTTTGGAACAATTGCACCTTTTTCTTAATTTGTAATGATATAATACTCAAACCAAGAACAATTTTTTTTCCTAAATGTTTTGTATCATTCAAATAATAAGAAATGTATTTGGGACCACTATTTATTCAATATCAAGTGAATTTTAGTTACAGTCAAAGGAGCCAGAATGTAATACAGTGCATGTGAAATGTAGTCATTCATTTCTATCATGTCTTTTTTTTTTTCTACGCTAATTATTCATGATAAACATGATGTCAAAATTTGATGTGCAATAAATACTTGACTACTAAGTCAGTTTATATTTTCCATTTGTTTCACCTAGTTTGTTGTTATGTTAACAATTGCAAAATAATGTGATATCTTTGTTTGTGGATTCCTTAGTTGAGCTATAGAACTGTATATAGATGTGTAGATGTTGATGTGATAGACATTTCACAGGAAGTAAAAACATTTTATTAGTAACTTGTGTTTCATATATGGAATGAAAAGATTGAATTGTGCAACTGTCATGTAACCTGTTGTTGTCACCTACTTAAAGAAATGTTTAAGTTTTGAGACTTTGTATGAACCATGCTAGTAAAGCTAAAACAAAAATCTAAACCATGCTACTTAAGTTTAAAGAAATAAACAAATAGCTTTCAGACTAAATAGAACAATTGAATTGTATTTTAATTTAATTATCTCATTCTTTTTTGTTGCTGTTTTTTTTTTACAAATAATATTTCACTTGAACTAGAAATGAATATAATGCAGTCTATGTTTTCTTGTCCAATTTTATAATAAATGATCTTATGCAATTTAACCATTTAATTTCTTTGTATATATTTTCACAAACCATTACAAGTATAAGGAATTTCAAAATATTTTTTTTTTCTTTTACTTTATTTATAAAATATCTAGGTATTTTAATCAGTGTAAGCCAAACCCTGTTTATGTTCAGAATGAGTTTGAAGAAGTATATGACAGATCAGATTGCATGCTATTCTGCTTCATTGCCATCAAAACTAGCAGCTGAAAACCTGGGCAGGGAATTCATAGGATTTGTAATAATGTAGAGCTAGAATGTAAAAAGAGTGAAGACACTTCTAATTTCCATGGCCTGTAATAGTTAATTTCATGGTTATTTTATATTCGTTTTTAAGCATTTTGCTAATCATTAAATATTGCCTAGTTGTAGCTGCTACCTTCAGGCTTCAAGAATAGCCTTAGAAAGATTACATCAAACATTGACATGATTCTTTTCTGTGGTCTGTTCTGCAAGTAGCATAGAAAAAGACATAATGTCCACAAACATCTTTTTATTTGTATAAACTGACTTATAAGTGTTCCATTATATAACTGCTCACCTGACTTTTAATCTCCTATAATGGAAATAATTATAACCATGATCCCCAGCACACTTTTAACCCTTTAACTGCTTTCCTTTCACAATTTATAATCTTTGTGCCAATGTCAAAGAATTGACGAACTCCTTGACACTATAGCATTCTGAGATATGTGAAACATTTGAAACAAATTAATTATTTTTTTTGTTCATCATTCCAAATTAAAAGTAAAAGTTTTCTTTCAACCAACATTGTTATCTGTGGGTGTCTTGGTAAATCTGAAGAATTGTATGTGTTAGAATAGGCAATGTGAACTAGTTCTCTGTCTTGCTGAGATGTATGTAGCTGCAGTGTTGATATCAATTTTGTGTTTTCAATCTCTTCACATATCTCCACAATACAATTCTGATTTGGGCTTTATTTCTTTTTAAGTTGACAATAAATTTGGATTCATCAGTAAACTTTGTGTTATCTTGACTTTTTTTGTTTTGTAATTTATTATTCTATAGTGCGTAGGTCTAGATGAAATATTGTCTGTCAGTTAGTGTGTTTTCTGTTGTTGTTTTTTTGGTGTTGCTGCCCAGGAAATATTACGAAAGAAATATTTATTTTAAAAATATTCCATTTCTTTTGTTCTTCTTCAACAAAGATGAGATAGTGTGTCAATGTGTTATGCGCCAGGAGGCCCTCTCCTAACCACTGGAATGCTCCACTCCATCCTCCATGACTGCAAACGTCTCCCTATCCGGCACCTGGGGACGCGCTTGGTAGTATGTGTTAGCTCCCCTATAGAAAGAAAACTATATGGAGAGCTCCCTTGATCTGGAAACCACCACGCAGTTCATCTCAAATTTTGGTCTAGTTATTTGAACGCTCCAACATGACAGTGAGAACGATGAAGAAGAAATAATATTTGATCTTCTGCTAACATTCTCACAAATCAATGTAGGTCTCGAGTCTAGTCCATTCAGCAGCTAAATGCTTTTTTTTAAAATAAAATAATGTTTTATGGATTAGTATATGGTTTAGTTAAATGATGCAGCAGTTGTTTTTTTTCGGAGGTAAACCTTTCGTACAAGGTTCTTTTTTAAGCTAATGGAATGATAGTAGATGCCCCTCCCTTGTCAGTGACAGTAGATGCCCCCTCCCTTGTCAGTGATAGTAGATGTCCCTCCCTTTTCAGCTAGTGGGTTTGGAGGAGCGCTGTTAGCTCCACCCCTGTGGGGTCGATGTGGAGCCGTTCCAAGAGTGTTTTTTTTGTTGTTTTTCTTTCAAGTATTCTAAACTTCAGCGCAATATCCTGTTATTCTTCTAGCAAAAAAAAAGCGCAGGGCTAATATCAAATCTTTTATTCACTTTATGAGTAGAGCCCAGGGACTGGTAGAAAAACATAATAACAATCTTTGAGGGGGGGGGGGTGAATATGTTTTATTTTGGGGAGGGCATAACACCCCCATCCGAGCTACGCCTGTAAAATGTGCTGACTGTAGTTTAATTGCTTTAGTTTTTCCTCAGGCTTTTACTTAAATCAGGGCCGGCCTTAGGTATAGACAAATAGGCAGCCGCCTATATGGCCTCCGATTGGTGGGAGCCTCGCATATGATTAAAAAAAATGAGATGGAAAAAAAACAACAACGAAACTTGGATCAAATTTCAAATAGAGCAAAGCTCCATGTCTGTTAGACTAGCTCCATTATTGCTCCATGTCTGTTAGACTAGCTCCATTATTGCTCCATGTCTGTTAGACTAGCTCCATTATTGCTCCATGTCTGTTAGACTAGCTCCATTATTGCTCCATGTCTGTTAGACTAGCTCCATTATTGCTCCATGTCTGTTAGACTAGCTCCATTATTGCTCCATGTCTGTTAGACTAGCTCCATTATTGCTCCATGTCTGTTAGACTAGCTCCATTATTGCTCCATGTCTGTTAGACTAGCTCCATTATTGCTCCATGTCTGTTAGACTAGCTCCATTATTGCTCCATGTCTGTTAGACTAGCTCCATTATTGCTCCATGTCTGTTAGACTAGCTCCATTATTGCTCCATGTCTGTTAGACTAGCTCCATTATTGCTCCATGTCTGTTAGACTAGCTCCATTATTGCTCCATGTCTGTTAGACTAGCTCGAAGTTTTTACCATTACTCAAGGTTAATTTACGAACGCTTAGATTTACTTGTTAGACTACCAATGTTAGAAAACCTTTTAGTGAAAATATCGAGACGTTATTTCGAGTCTGGTGCATAAAAGGTAAGCAAAAAGCGAATGACTTTAGAAGAAGTGGTCAGCGAGTCGGCTAATTTGATTGAAAAAGTCACGGAACTTGCATGCTCAAGCGATGCAGAACTTGCAGCAGAAGAGAGCATTTCGTCTTCGATTGGAAAGATCTAGGCTTATGGTGATCTTTAATTAGCAATAAAGAAAGTGTCAACAACATATTGGTTTATTTTAATAGAGATACAGATATGTTTGTAATCAATTGCGTGATTTTATTTTTTCGTTGTTTATTTTTAATTTTAATTTGGGACTACTACTACTTGGGGCCTCTAATTCCCTAAGGCCGGCCCTGCTTGAATACTCGTAGATTAATTTATTAATGGAGCCCATCGACTGGTAGGAAAACGATTATTGTAAGAAATAGTTCAGGGGGATGGGGAAATCACCTCCCCCCAACTACGCCCATGTAACATGAGTGTGGTGATGCCGACAATGGATCTCGAAGAATATGAAGATACCAAACAACATAAAGCAAGTTGATAATAATTGTTTTAGAACGTATTTAGGCCTATAAAATTTTATTTAGAAATTATCCAAGTCGTGGTTGAATTGTAGATTTATATGGATGCACATTTTTTTTTTTTTTTTTTTTTTGAGAAATCTCAATATTATAAAAGTGGTGTGGTGGCTCACTTTTAAATTAAGTTGTTGAATAAGATCTTTATTTTTTAAAAAAAGCTAGATTCACCTAGACCTAGATATAGATTCATGTATGTAGGCCTAAGCTAATGAAAATTCTAAAATTGCAAATTTTCAACTTTTGACGACTTTGGCACTACAGGTAGATCTACCCGAGAAGCAGTGTACCACCCTTCCTCCTTCAGTCTGCCCCTTGTGTCTCACACCATCACTTTTTTTTTTTTCAATCAGGGGGCGTAACTCCCAGTGACACCATGTTGTTCACGCCCACTTTTTGTTTGTACTAACAACAACAAAATGGTGTTGAAAAGTTTAGTTCGTGAAAGTAAGTTTAAAATTGTTGTAGAAAACATTTTTTTGCTTGTTTTGGGTGGGTAACAAAATAAAGATATCGAACTAGATTCTAGTATTCTTGAGAAAAAAAAAGTTTCAATTGCTATGCTAATCTTAAGATTGTTGGTGATTAGATCATTAATTGAGTTGGTTTTAATTTTTTTGGTCTTTTAATAATTTCATTATAATCATTATGAGAATTAAGTTTCAGTAGGCCTACATAAACTATAATATAGACCTAGTTAGAGTTGGATGAAATGAAGTTAATTAATTGAAGATTTTAAGACTAGGCTACATATTCCAAACCTCATTTGAACCGATAGTTTGATAAATTAGTCTCGTTTGAAACCAGGTCAGGACCTTACATTGCCTCAAGACGACAGTCCAGAGCGCATATCCAGCACATGACCAGGCATAACTAGGCTCATTCCTTCCTGAGTCTACTTGAGCTTTTATACTAGATCTATGATTATATATATATATATTGAATATTCTAGAATATATGTCTATTTAGTTCTTTTTTATGCAAGTTTTAGACAAAATTTTGTTAATCTTGGTTTAATTAATTAGAATGTTGTAATATCTAGATATGTGCTTACTTCAAATATAGATCTATGCTAAGGGTCAGAAATAAGTATTTTCTATTTTGTATCTTCCATTTCCTCTGTAAGTAGTTATTAAAATATGTCTCTTTTAGCTATAGCTATATCCAAAAATTCTTTTACAGAAATTCTTGGTGAAATTGTCAAACAGCACAAAATAACAGGAAAAGGAGAATGGAAAGTTCTTATTTTGGACACAGAAAGCACACACATAATATCTGCTTGTTGTAAGATGAAAGAAATAACAGCAGATGGAATTACATGTAAACTATAATAATTTTCATTTTATTACTATCTTTTTTTAAATTGTAATGATTTTAGTGTTTGAAATATGATTTATTGAAAAGAAAAGAAATTAAGGCTTCCATTATTTCTTTTTCTTGTCAGTGGTTGAAGATTTGTACAAGAAAAGAGAACCTCTGCCATTACTAGAGGCAATTTATTTTATAACTCCTGTCGAGAAGGTAAACTCTTAAAAATAGTATCTGTAAGTCAATCACGATTTTATTGGCTAAAATTTCATGTTAAAATAAACAATAAATTTTTTTAACTTTAGGTTACATTTGAAATTCTAGCATTTAAAGTTACTTAAATTATGAGCAAAAGAAATTTTGCATTGATTTTTTTTATCTGAAATATTTTTAAAAGTTAAACAAAAAAATTACAATATCTACAAGTTGAGCTTTAGATAAAGAAATGTTACAATGATAACTTTTATTAAGCCAATTAACTTACTTTTTTTTTTCTAGTCTGTTCATTCATTGATTTCTGATTTTAAAGACAGAAGTAGTAAGCTTTACAAAGCAGCGCATGTTTATTTTACAGAAGGTACTCATTAAACACGTTTTTCAGCTAGTGTAATTAGTTCTAAATATAGATTTAAAAAAAAAAATTAACTAAATTCATTTCTTCAGTTTTTGAAATAATTGTAATGAGTTATTAACTAAATGTATCACTTTTAGTAGGCTATCTACAAATTTTGAATACTACTGCAATGTTTATCTATAGGCCTATTTATACTAGTTATATTATATTTGTGTTTAAGCATGTCCAGAAGATCTCTTTCATACACTGTGTAAAGCACCTGTGGCCAAATTTATTCAAACCCTCAAAGAAATTAATATTTCCTTTTTACCTTATGAATCTCAGGTAATTTTTGTTTTAGTTTGTAATTCACATTTAAATGCCTTAAAGGGAAACTCAGATGGTTTTTCAAATTTGTGTTATTGACATATTTAAATTCTGCATAAAAAGTTGTAATAGTAAACATTTTACCATTTTGCATTTAAATGCTTAGAAACATTTATATTTAAATAATTAGTCAGTAAATTCTTGACATCTCAAAAAAACATGGTTCTTTGTGAATTTGTTTTTAGCTCAGTCAAACGTCACTTCCCTCAACAATACTGAAAGAGACAGAGATTTAACCAGTCATATCATTTCATTCTTACAGTAGCTGTTAAGCTGTTAGGCTTAGTGACGGCCTAGTCCAGATCTATAGTACAGTTATATATAGAGAGAGAGAGAGAGATCTAAAAGCATTAGGATAACCAACTCGAGAAAAAGTAGCATTTTCATTCAAGTCCTTCCCTGTCCTAAAAAGTAAATAGATC